AAGAGAAATCCTGCTGGGATCTCTTCTGAGAACTGCACTGATGTAGAAGAGGTGACCCGAGTTTCAGCACTGGAGCTGCAGCATCAGCTCTGCAGCGTGACACATGTCATGCACCAATCCCTAGAGGTTGCTCTGCACTTCAGTACATACCAATCCCCTCCTTCGCCTCTAGCGATAACCCCACTGCGACTGATCTTCTCAAGGCCACCACCACGCTCAGGCAATTCCCAGCTATTCATAGAGGAGGTTCTATTAAAAGTAAAAGCACAATCAGCTTAAGAAATAGCCAGAGATTACCCAAGAGATCACAGCAGCCCAAAAGAGAGAAAACCTAACGCGCATTAGAATCTAAGGGCCCTATCCTGACTCACAGCAGTGCAAGCTGCTCGGAATAAACCTCAAGCAAGTTAGTGGAGCTAAACACTAGTATAAACAAAAATTAGTCAGAGCTGCTTTTTCTATAGGCCCAATTCTGAACCGGGCATCAGGTGTACTGCCCTGCTGATAGAGAACTGTTCTGAGCCGGCACTCAGGTGGCAAAGGGACAGTTATTTTCATTATAAGCCCCTGTTCATAGAGGTTTATAACTACCTGGGTAAGGAAGCGCTCTCCGAGCTGAAACCCAGCCTGCTGATTTGTTGCCACAGCTCTGAGCCAACTTCTAAAGAATTTACCGTCTTTACACAGGCAAGAGGGGCAGGAAGGTAAAGGAGAATCAAACAAAGACTTCAAAATTTGGCCCTTAGGAATCTCTCTGCCTTATGCTTAGAAATTCAGCCTTCCCCTCCCTGATCCCCCGCCTCAAAGGAAAAGCTTTTTCCTAGTGCTCTCCTGGGTAGATTAGCTCTGCTGTACAAACGCTTGCAGATGTTGAGAACCGACTACTCCGCATCTCTGCGGACTGCTGCCTGACGATGCTTTGAGAAAGTTTGTTAACGTAGCTGAGAAACTGCTCCGCGATATGGCTGCAGTTTATGCTCAACTTTTATACAGCATTTGAGCAACACTGCCTGGCTCTTCAGCCAAAATCCACAGCAGTATCAGCTTAATATCTGCTATGTCTTCTCTCAGGCAGCCCATATACTACCCCGACCCCTCTTATATCAAGATTCAGTTTCACTGCTACAAAATGTCCGTACTGGCACAGCCAGACAAGAGCCCCGCAATTCATGTGATTGTTACGGGAGCATTAACTCCTCACCCCTCAAGGCAGCTGCAACAACGCAACCTGAGGTCGGAAGAAACAGGAAAGGGAGTGTTAGAAGGAACCGTTGAGGCAATAAATTATTAAAACAGTATTTTTGCCCTAGAGACCGGAGTTCAATTCCCGTTTCAGTCACAAGCGAGGAACTGGGTTTCTCCCAAACCTCATTTAGTGTAACTTATTGTTCAGCATGACCGTAGTAGAAGTATATTAGCAGGGCTTATAGTTTCGGGATATAAGCCCCAATTTTTAGGAAGGGAAGGGTTCACGACACAGGTCTTAGTTTTGGAATTCTTTACATTGGTCTCCTGGAACACTTAGAAAAAAACAAAATATTTGACACATTAAAAAAACCCCATAAGCATCCATGTTAGAAATTGATGTTTTCAATACAAAAGCTACACT